AACCAAATGATATGTTTATGTCACTAATAGAAAATAAGCACGTTAATCAACACTTTAGTAATAAGTCAATCATCAACATCTACATAATTTGGTTTATAATTTTGGTCTCCCTAGCATTATCTAATATTTATTGATTAAATAAGGACGAATTTGAATCACATTATTACTACTTAGCCCATTATTCACACTCTTAGTGTATATAATATCGTTTGTTAAAAAAAAAACAGAAAGATGTTCTCTCTTCAGACCAATGCATAATTTTAACAAGGTAGTGTTATTTGCACGCCCATTTTTAATTATCACACATGTTTTTCAATTTTCAGTCGTAAGATTAAATAAATTGAAGATGATCAATGACAAAAAATTAATAAAAGTATATGAAAGGTAAAAATAAATGTCTGACAAACAGTGTCCTTCTAATAACGTCACCGGTCAATTGAATATTTTCCACGTGTTAAAAATTATCCTGACTATCTAATATATTTGTGTATTTGATGTCACTAGTTCCATGACAGTTTCCCTTCCATAACAACCGTAAGGCCTCTAATTACTCCACCAAATTCTACACCAATAGAAGCAGCCCACATCACCAACTTCCAAACTTGGGACTGCAAAATGACCCTTATGCCCAAAATTACAACACGTGGCAAAACTCAATTCGTAAAAGTAACGCGAGTGCAGGAAATTCCCGAATAAGCACCCGCAGAGATTCCAAAAGCGAAAAGGTGGGAAAAGCGGCGAAAGCGTTAATAAAAGCAGTGAGCAATGACATGGAGAAGCAGAAGAGCGCTTCGTGACTCGTAGAGGCAAAAACCCAATTGCAAAACCTCCGATTGGGATTCGCTTTTCCCGGGAATCCCATTCCAGCGAAACCCAATTGGGCAATTTGGGTTCCCATTCATCTATTAAAACCCTAATCGCATCTGCTTCTGTCGGCCATCGTTTTTTATTCAATCATCTCAGCCATGGTGGCCGATAGCAAGTCCAAATCCGACATTTCTTTCGCTGGAACTTTTGCAAGCAGCGCCTTCTCCGCCTGTTTTGCTGAGGTAATCAATCAAATGAACTCTGATCAGTGATCACGTTATTTTCTATGCGAAATTGAATCGATTCGGATTTTTGTCTTTGGATCCTGCGGACTGTTTTTTTTTTTTTTTTATATCAATAGTCATACGAGAGATAAAACCAATGTGTTAGATTGTGATGAATTCTGTATTGGGGTATTGGATATATTGAGTTCATGATTCTCCTATCTGGGTTTTTGGTTGTGCCCAGAAATTGTGCTCAAAATTTTGAAAAAAAAAAATGTTGTTTTGCTTTTGCTGTATATTGTGTTGATAAATAACATTTTTTTAGCTATCTGGGTTAGTTTTTCGTGTAATTATGTGACCCAGTGCCGCACTTGAATCTTAATTTAGTTTGTTGTGATCAGACAATCCTGTTTTTACACATAATTGAGTATAACTAGACAATTGATTTGATTGTGATGTCTTCGAAATGTTTGTATCGAAGAGCCTGTTAAGTTTGACGTTCTTTTGATTAACTTGGCGCAGATTTGTACTATTCCGTTGGACACGGCTAAAGTCAGGCTTCAGCTCCAGAAGAAAGCTGTTGCAGGTGATGGAGTGGCCTTACCTAAATACAGGGGTATGCTGGGCACAGTTGCTACCATAGCCAGGGAAGAAGGTCTGACAGCACTCTGGAAAGGAATTATACCTGGATTGCATCGTCAATGCCTATATGGAGGTTTAAGAATTGGGTTGTATGATCCTGTACGTCCCGGTTCTTGTTTTTAGAAAACGCAAACTAATTGTGAAATTTTCTTTTTAGTGTATACGATATCTGTGCTTTCTGATGTCTAATACACTTAACTTGTGTGCTTTACAGATCAAGTCCTTCTATTGTGGAGGCAGTGACTTTGTTGGTGATGTTCCTTTAACAAAGAAAATACTTGCTGCCTTAACCACTGGTAAGCATGGTTGTGGATTCTTTTCGATTTACCTTTCATTTCTGCTGGTTTTGTGGAATAAAAGTAGTCGTTTGCGCTGTATCTGCATTACCGTCTGTAGTAGCCACTAGTGGTGTCGTATTATAGTTTGGTTGGAAGTTCATAGTTGGTTTAATCTTTTTTCCTTCTTTTTATTTTTTTGGAAAACTAATCTTTTTTCTTTCTAAGATGGAAAGATGGGGGCAGTAAGACCCTGTTCTGTTGGCTTTTTTGATATGTAAGTGGGTCCTTGTTAATTTTGGATTTACATTTGACTTTTCAAACTTGCTTTTTTGATAAAAAAAAAAAAAGGTGCTCTAGCAATCACAGTGGCAAATCCAACTGATCTTGTGAAAGTTAGACTTCAAGCTGAAGGAAAATTACCACCTGGTGCACCAAGGCGCTATTCAGGATCACTGAATGCGTATTCCACCATTGTGAGACAGGTTGAGCATCTATCCTGGAAATTTAAGATAAAAAGGAGGGGTTGGCATTCGAATTTTTTTTTTCTTCTGACTTTTTGAACTTGGCTCACATCTGAAAAATTAGGAGGGAGTTGGGGCACTCTGGACTGGGATTGGACCCAACATTGCACGTAATTCTATCATTAATGCTGCCGAACTAGCCAGTTATGATCAAGTGAAGGAGGTAAGATCACTAACAATCTTATTTTGTTCTTTTGGAGCAGAACTCTTTACACTTTCTTAATGTGTATACATTTCAATGCAGACACTTCTAAAACTTCCAGGGTTCTCGGATAATATTGTCACTCACCTTCTTTCTGGTCTGGGGGCTGGTTTCTTTGCTGTCTGTATTGGCTCACCAGTTGATGTGGTAATTTATCTACATTCACATGTGAAATCTATCTGATTGGTCTCTAGTTAAGTATATCTGGTATCTAGCGCATACTATGTTTGCTTACATGCTCTGGCGACAAGTGAATTGATGATCTTATTAACTCAGGATAAGAGCATGTGGCACATGTGTATTAGCCGGAAGGCATCCATCATATTTATTAGTTCTTATGGAGAATGCAAACAGTTAGTTCTTACCATTTCTTTTCATGTTCTAATCCTGTACTTTTATATGATATGAAACTCTTTTTCAAGCTCTGATCAATTAAAGCTGTAAATTAGTCTTGTCTCTGTAATGTTAACTCATTTATTATGCACTAGTTGATTCATGTACTTTTTAGCTATGCATGGAATCAATAAGTGGTCGCTCTTTTCTTTTTGTAAAAATGGTTTGCCTATTTTCATGTACTGGTTCAGCTGCATTTTTATTCTCATTGCATTATACAACCTCATGTTTATTTTATTTTTTATTGTTCATCTTTTCTCAGGTTAAGTCAAGGATGATGGGAGATTCTGCTTACAAAAACACAATCGATTGCTTCCTCAAAACTCTGAAGAATGATGTACAAATTAATTTCTTCCAATACCTTCTAGCCTATTCTTAATTTACACTTTAAAATTGCTTTAATAAGTTTAAGAAGTTATGCAAATCAAGTATAAGTGTATTTGCATTCAGAGGTAATGCAAATTAGCTTGTGGGTGAGAATCGTGAGATGTAGAATCTAGAGCTAGTCAGAATTCTAGTTATCGATTGAAACAAATTATGCAGTTGGTTTCTGTAGTTGCGATGTGAAATATCTATAGGCATTTAAGCATTAGTGTATTTGCATTGTGTAATCTACATGCAGACTGAATAGGGTGCTAACTGCCACAACCCAACACTAACTTCCAACTTTAGTTAATTGAAGAGACTCATCAAAAGATAATGGTTATTAACCGCATTCAATGTTTTACAGGGACCCTTGGCCTTTTACAAGGGCTTCATCCCAAATTTTGGGCGGCTAGGATCGTGGAATGTCATCATGTTTCTAACCCTTGAGCAGGTACATTTTGCAACTCCACTTTCCTGTTCTTCACCATTACGTGTTTTTGGTCTTTGCATGCACTTTCCACTCCCGTGTCAGTAGCTGTGGGGGCTGCAGCATAGATAACGTAGCTATGTATTTGGAAAACAGTCTTGTAGCCAGTTAATCTTTGGATTTCTTGATTGTCTTCCATAACTATCCTGAATTAGTTTCTCATCTTTTGATTCTCGTGGCAGGTTAAGAAGGTTGTGAGAAATATAGAGTCATCGTGAGCTTAACGAGGATCGAGGTCGCGAGCTTATCGAGGATCGAGGACAATGTGGGATTTTTTAGGGGTGGTAGCATCTGCAGCAACTGATAGTTGTTTTAGAGAATAATAAGGCCTAGATTAAACATTTTTAATGGCATTTTTTTTGCTAACTGAGGAGAAGGTTCCTCTTCCACCCAAGGAAAACATGTATTCAAAACTATGAAGTTTTACAAATAATGATCATTTGTTTTCTGGACAATCTTGTCTCTCTTGTCGTACTCATGACTTTTGGTTTTAATATTCTTAATGTTATTTTTCAATTCCTCCAAAATGAGAGATTGAATTTCTTATTCCGTTTGGGAATCATGCCTGTTTTGATTCTCCATATTTTGTAAACACGATTACTTTGTGTTGGAATCCGACTCCTTGTTTTGATTCCAATTAAACACAAGAACACTTTGTGTTCGAATCTGACTCCTTGTTTTGATTCTAATTATCGATTACCGTAAGTGTGCTTGTGTTTAAAATCGGAATCAAACAAGATTTAATCATGAGTACGTCTCTCTCATCACTTGATTGGAAAAACGAAGCTAATTCAAGCCCACGTTTTATTTAATTTCTAAATTCTCTCATGATTCAACAATGCATTCACGATATCATAACAAAAGTTTGTCGTTACGTAAAAAAATTTGTAGTTCAGATAAGAGTATTTGCTCTTGCATCCGAGATCCCAAATTCAATCAAGCTAAACCACGTGAGACGTCCTCCAACAACAAACTTTGATTTGTTTGTTCTTTCCAAATAGAGCATTTGCCTTTAAATTTTTTTGTAAAGTAGTCCAAAAGCCCACAGCGGCCCTCAAGTCGGTCAGCCCATTAACTGTGACCAACCCAAAGCCCAGTAAACCAGTTCCCTTCTTCTTCTTCGTGTTCCAAATCTCAGCCGAAATCCACCCGCCATTTAACAAAATTTCAGAATTCCCTCTTCTTCCGCCGATTTTCACCCAATTTAGCTCAGGTACTCCTTAATTTCCGTTTTCCTTAATCTTTCACATATCTTAACATCTAATCAATTTCCATCGGATTTTATTAGGGCTTGCGGCGGTAACTGAAAATCATTTACCCTTTTCCGACTTGGCTGCTCGATGGTTGCCATCGCCGACGACGTCGTAAGGACGACCTTCCGGTTAGTGTATTTGCTTTCCGCTATCAGTCCAAAGAAATTTGGAAATTTGAGATTTGTGGTACTAATTGGGCACATTTGAAATGCAATGCCAACTTCGTTAGCTATAACCCCAAATAGTTGCATTCGGAATTGGATTCCATGGAACCAAGCAGAGATTTTATGCTGCAAATTCCAATATTTAGGTTCGCCTGCTTAGTTTATTTCCTGCTTGATACAGAGTATGAAGAAACCATGTGAACATTCAACATGTTGGTGTTATTATTTTTGTGGCACCTGAACCTTTTAGGTTAGTTTATCGGAGTTGAGAATTTTTCGGGTTAACCTTCGTTTTGTTGGGTGACATTCTGCCTGTGTGGTTTCTGTGTTTGGTTCTTGGAACTTAGAAATACGTTGTGGCTGCTTGCCTTTAGATTCATGTATCGTTTGTCTAGGTTTGTGGATAAAACTATAGTCTTTGCGCCTTCTCGTGTCTATTTGTATCGATCTTCTAGAATTTCCTTAATTTTAGTCATAGAAGTGAGAAATAAAAACACTAATATCAAAGCAAATTCTGGTCAATCTAGTTTTATTTTTCAACTCCAGACAAATGCATCCTTAGTTAGACATCATTTTTCATCCCTACGTAAGTGCGTAATACACTCATTTGAATAACCCCATCACGAGGACGTGTTATTTTCAATTCATCTACAGGAGGAGAAGATATTTGGTCTCGTAATTGGAGTTTGAAGTTGGAAATTTTAGCGTGCTATAGTAAGTCGCAAACTTTACACATCCAAGGAAGAGGGTAATAGTAGGGTGAAAGATGCTGATCCGGCTTAAGAGTCTTCTACCAACAGAGGGTGCTGCAGGGGCAAAACACGTGCCAGCAGAGACTGTGACCGTTGCATGCCCTGACCACCTTGTACTTGCTGATCTTCCTGTGGCAAAGGGCATTGGTGCAGTAACCACCACTACTCTTGTCAAGAATGTAGGCCGCAGGTCCCGTCGCCAGCTCGGAGAACGCGTCCACTTTTGTGTTAGCTGTGATTTTCCAATTGCTATCTATGGACGCCTGGTATGGACTGAGTAAACCTGTTTTTCCACATGTGTTAGTTGCTTTTACTTTTAAATTTCATGTCTTGGTGTTATTTTAGCTTCATATATTTTGCCTTTGGAAACTCTGGAAATTTATACCAGAAGTCAAGTGTTGAATTGCATGATATAAACTTCATGTATATTAACTAGCCTGTGTTCTTGCAGAGCCCTTGTGAGCATGCTTTTTGTCTGGATTGTGCTAGGAGTTACTCAATATGCTATCTGTAAGCTTTCTTAACTTTACATGCTCAGACTAGCGCATCAATCTGTTATCTACAAACTTGTTCCTTTTCTTTCGCCCAGTGAAGGAGCGGAAGGATTTTCTTGGGCTTGTAGTGTTGTAGAATTTCGGCATAACACCCAACGAACATTTTGACTTTTGCATGTGTACTTCTATTATTTAGAAGAGTGCTCACCTAAGGGACGTAAATTGAGGGATATTGCACTATAGGGCTAAATTTGCATCAATAAATCATTGATTACCACAAAGTATTGGAATTAGTTGATGAGTGATTTGAACATCTAACTTTCATGATTTATGTTACACAGTTGCGACGAACGCATCCAGAAGATTCAGACAATCAAAATGATGGAGGGGATCTTCATTTGTGCAGCCCCTCACTGTCTGAAATCTTTTCTGAAGAGGGGTGAATTTGAATCTCATATCCATGAGAACCATGCTTACCTTCTTCAGCCAAATGCAAGCAAAATGGATGGAAATGAATCAGAATCTCAGAATTCCAAACAATGTACAGTATCTGAATCCACCGCTCGTGCTCCACCAAGGCCATTAGTTTCTCCTGGTTCAAATTCTCAGCTCTATGATCGTGAGGACAAAGCTCGGCTTCAACAGACTAGAGAACAATCACTTCCAAGGCCAGTCATGCAGCCCAACCCAGCCCCAGAATTTGGGCAAGTCCAGAATAACCCTCCAGACCCCAGTCGCCCCCCAGGTTTTGACAGGCCTGCTCCCCTCAATCTCTTCCATCAACAAAGCTATGATTCAATGGGTGCCCCAATGCAGGAATCTGGCCAATTTTCCGATAAGCAGCAAGGAATTTTATCTGAGACTCCCTTTTCTGAATATCCACCCATGCATTCCATTCCACCCCCTAATTATGCAATTCCTGTTAATTCCAATCAAGTGCGGATGCCTCTTCCATTTGGCCTTCCCTTTCTAGTTGATGGATCCCGGCAAGTTTATGGTGCTCCCTATGAGATGGCACGACAGGATTCCGCCCCAGATGTTGGACCAGAACAGGGGTCATTACTGGGTTTCCCCCCTGGTTCAGTAGGTAACATGAACTTTCCGGCTAGTTATCCACACTCTTGGAATGCAGGTCAAGCTGGTGCTCCTTTTGAAGCTGCAGCAGGGGGTCAAGGAAATACAGATAGTTTCTCTAACTCTGCAGAGCCTCAAGGACAAGCTGCATTTTATCAAGGAGAATATGGACGGAATCCCGGTGGTATGCCCTTCAATTCTCCGCAATTGACCAACACTGCAATGGAACAAGTGCAGGGTGGTAATATCATGGATCCCAGGGACGGCAAAGGTGTTTTAGCAGCACAGCCCATGTCACTTCCTCCGCCGCCTCCACCCCCACCTCACATGTCACAACTCAAACGTAAGTTTTATGAAGGCGATATGGGATGAGATGGACAGGGCTAGATCTGGAAACACGACCACCCCATGATGGCTGTTGATGGCCAAGTCTAGAAAAGATTAATATTTGTAATTTTCCTCCTTTTTTACCTCCTTGAAACTCGTTGCTTGGTGGTATTATTGGTCCAAGGTTCTCTCTTGAGTATTGTTTTTCCCTGGCTCAGGTCTTTACATTTTGTTTGTTTGTTTGTTTTTTTTTTTTCAGTAGTTTGTACCAGTCAAAATTGGCGAAAGCCATCATTTCGGCAACTGAGAAGCCATCATTTGTCAAATGAATCTCAGTTGCCGAAATGACGACGATGAGCACCGAAAAGCTGTAGCAGGGATGGTGAGTACAACAAGCAAGATGTTTTCCACTGTTACAGTTTTCATTCGACATGATTCGAAGACAACGTAACAGCCTCGTGTTACCATTTCTTCTGGTAAGTGCAATTTAGGCATGGGAGGAAATGGTGAGTTCACATAGGAATGTGCAACTAACAAATTGCATCCTTAATAACGCGTTCTAAGCTTTCCTTGATCTAAGATAAGTATCATAAGTTTATGATAGAGTCAGTAAAACATGAAATATGTTGAGAATAAAAAAATTCCGACAAAATCAAGATGTATCATGTTTTTCTTATAGTTGACTTCAAGTTGGTCTCAACTCTCACGGCTCTCACCTGATCCCCTGTGAGTTTTGGCCTTGTCGAAGCTTCTTGCCAGCAAGACATGTTGGCAAAACATTTCATAAAAACAAATCTAAATATAAACAAATGTATAAACCATTTCAAATGCTAAAAACTAATATTGTAACATGCAGAAGTGAGAGGGGAAAGGTCTGGTGATATTTTTCTTCGCTTAGAAGTGAGAGGTCTTAGATTCGAATTTCGTGGATGGTGAATTCGATACCAAATTCGGCTGCTCATTGTGTGGCTTAGTCGAACTCCCTCTCCTCCTAGTGTAAAAATATCGATTTATTAAAAAAAAACATGCAAAACAATTAAGGAAAATAATGCAAATGGCTCGAAAACTTTGAGTTTTAACGATAAAGACAAAATACTTAGTTTGATAAACAAAATTTTGAATCCCAAAAGGATTTCAAACAACTTCTAATTTTCTCTTTTATCGTAGAGATCAATTAAATGCTTGTATATTTTTGTATTAAATTCTTCATTTTATTTCA